TATCTCCCATGTATCAGACTGCGTGAAATTCGTAATCTTGACAAATACGTGTAGCTCATGAGTAAATAATTTTGAGGCCTAAATAATTGTGAAATCCAGATATTATTTTAACCACATAAGACACAAACCAAAGCCAAATAAAAAAATCTTCAAATCCCAAGACACCACTGCTGCATAATACTTGTTCACCATACCAATGAAGATCACTTGACATTTCTAATGTTCATTCTAGAGCAATTGATTTTCAGTTGTGTTCATGTATACTTTAATTCCTTTGGTGCAAAGCTAAATTTCAAGCATGAAATCAGAGAGAGAGAGAAAGAGAATTCAATTGGCCTAAAAAATTCACAATAGACACAAACTTTCATTTTTTTATTCAGTCCGATTTTGATGCCATTTATTTCTGAAAATAACATTTCTGACTAAGTGTAACGTAAAATGTATTATGAAATTTATTTTGTTTACCTTTCCTGGCAATATACTACGTGAATTTGTAAAATATGAAATGCATTAACACTAAATCTTTGTAAGATTTAACGAAGTCGAGCTTGTTTTGAAGGGCTTAATATCGTGCTTGTTTTGAAGGGCTTAATATCAGGGAAATTTTGTAGTCTTTGAACAGTATTTTATGTGTTTTACAAGACGAACTCTCGCCATCTCGTCACCCAGTCTTTGCATCTACATTAGCTTTATTCCAATGAGCGTTGTACTTACGTCGTTCAAAGGGAGATCATTTGAGTACACCCAGAGTTACCTTATGCAAATTTCACAAGATAACTGCTAAGCATTTGAGAGATAAGTATAAATTGGAGATTTCTGGAGGGTGGTGGTGGGCTAATATTTCTGTTTATTTCAGGCAATAAAGGCACGTGAACCAACCTGCTTCATGTATATGCATATGCAACCTGTGATCTTTATGCTTGGTCAAATAAATCCCTCGTATTCTAAGGGAAACATGTTGATATAGTGTGCTTTTTTTTAAATAAATTTTTACCTCAGATTTTTGAATCTTAATATATTTTCTGTCTTGAAACTAATGTCTTGTCTGCATATATCTGAGTTGTGACTGTGTTAATTTTGTAGGATCCAAATAGTAAGAAAACTTATTCTTTACAATGATTAAGAATGCAATTTTCGTACGAATTAAGATATGGCAATTACCAAGGATGTGACTTAAAAAAAAAGGCACATGCTCATTGTTGAATGAAAAACGATACAAAACTTTTCTTTCTGTTGTGAAGAATATAATACAAAGTCATTGTTGCAGTCTTTGAAAAGTAACTGTTTTGTGAATTGAACTCTAGTCATCACGTGACCAGAAACCGTTCTCGCTATCAAATGAAAGCGTGAAAACTCTAACAGGCTTTGTGAACTTGTGCAGATAAATGTTTTTCATGAAAACTGTCATAAGATTGCATTTTGGCATTCATCTTAGATACATTACTACGCATTGCCGTTACAAGATCAAAAAGAACCCCCGATTACTTTTTTAATAATAAAATTGATGAAATTTGTCTACCATGCATCAGACTGCGTGAAATTCGTAATCTTGACAAATACGTGTAGCTCATGAGTAAATAATTTTGAGGCCTAAATAATTGTGAAATCCAGATATTATTTTAACCACATAAGACACAAACCAAAGCCAAATAAAAAAATCTTCAAATCCCAAGACACCACTGCTGCATAATACTTGTTCACCATACCAATGAAGATCACTTGATATTTCTAATGTTCATTCTAGAGCAATTGATTTTCAGTTGTGTTCATGTATACTTTAATTCCTTTGGTGCAAAGCTAAATTTCAAGCATGAAATCAGAGAGAGAGAGAGAGAGAGAGAGAGAGAGAGAGAGAGGGAGAATTCAATTGGCCTCAAAAATTCACAATAGACACAAACTTTCATTTTTTTTTATTTAGTCGATTTTGATGCCATTTATTTCTGAAAATAACATTTCTGACTAAGTGTAACGTAAAATGTATTATGAAATTTATTTTGTTTACCTTTCCTGGCAATATACTACGTGAATTTGTAAAATTTGAAATGCATTAACACTAAATCTTTGTAAGATTTAACGAAATCGAGCTTGTTTTGAAGTGCTTAATATCGTGCTTGTTTTGAAGGGCTTAATATCAGGGAAATTTTGTAGTCTTTGAACAGTACTTTGTGTGTTTTTCAAGACGAACTCTCGCCATCTCGTCACCCAGTCTTTGCATTTACATTAGCTTTATTCCAATGAGCGTTGTACTTACGTCGTTCAAAGGGAGATCATTTGAGTACACCCAGAGTAACCTTATGCAAATTTCACAAGATAACTGCTAAGCATTTGAGAGATAAGTATAAATTGGAGATTTCTGGAGGGTGGTGGTGGGATAATATTTCTGCTTGTTTCAGGCAATAAAGGCACGTGAACAAACCTGCTTCATGTATCTGCACATGCATGTACATGCATTGTACTGCATATGCAACCTGTGATCTTTATGCTTGGTCAAATAAATCCCTTCTATTCTAAGGGAAACATGTTGATATAGTGTTTTTTTTTTAATAAATTTTTACCTCAGATTTTTGAATCTTAATATATTTTCTGTTCTTGAAACTAATGTCTTGTCTGCATAAATCTGAGTTGTGACTGTGTTAATTTTGTAGGATCCAAATAGAAAGAAAATTTATTCTTTACAATGATTAAGAATGCAGTTTTCGTACGAATTAAGATATGGCAATTACAAGGATGTGACTAAAAAAGGCACATGCTCATTGTTGAATGAAAAACGATACAAAACTTTTCTTTCTGTTATGAAGAATATAATACAAAGTCATTGTTGCAGTCTTTGAAAAGTAACTGTTTTGTGAATTGAACTCTAGTCATCACGTGACCAGAAACCGTTCTCGCTATCAGTCGAAAGTGTGAAAACTCTAACAGGCTTTGTGAACTTGTGCAGATAAATAACTGTTTTTCATCAAAACTGTCATAAGATTGCATTTTCGCATTCATCTTAATTCATGTAAATAATTCTGAGGCCTAAATAATTGTGAAATCCAGATATTATTTTAACCACATAAGACACAAACCAAAGCCAAATAAAAAAAATCTTCAAATCCCAAGACACCACTGCTGCATAATACTTGTTCACCATACCAATGAAGATCACTTGACATTTCTAATGTTCATTCTAGAGCAATTGATTTTCAGTTGTGTTCATGTATACTTTAATTCCTTTGGTGCAAAGCTAAATTTCAAGCATGAAATCAGAGAGAGAGAGAGAGAGTCAATCAGAAAAATAATTGACAACGAAAACAAAAAAAATTGCTTCAAAAGCTTTGAAACTGAGCAAAAGGAAAATAATGGCATGGGGTCAGTGGGTGGGTTGAAATACACAATATACATGTATGTTTAAATCTTAGGGAGTGGGACAGTATTAATCCTACTCTTATATTTGTTGACATTTTGGGGTTCAATAACGTGGGAGGGATCAATCAAACTGCTACAAAAAAGTACTTGGTCAAGAGTTCTTTGAGTGAGAATTCCCAACTAAACAGCTACATATAATATAAACACTCTTTTCAGACATCCTCCCCTTTTTCAGAAAATATATTTAAAAATATCTTGCTTAAAGGAAGGGGTATCCCTTCCATATACATAGTCGTCAACGAGAAGGGAGAAAAAGGGAGAGGGACTTTAAATCAAAATCTTGTACGTGTAAATGAGTTTAGACTGTCTTTTTGGTGCTAGAACCATTATGACGTCATAATTGATTTATAAATGAATTTTCCCCGTACTTTATGGCTATAATAGAATTATGTTAAAAATGAAGCATTTTCAGGGAATTCAATTTGAAATCATATTAACAGTAACTCCGATACCTACATGTATATTCAGTTTAATATCATTTTAAGGAAGAGGTCAAGAAGATACGAAAAACCTGTTTCTGAGAGACTGTAGGCAACATTGATACATTTCCTTTGTCTGAGATGAAAAAAAACTGAAATTTATACTGACCTTCTTCATTTTTCATTGAAAATCATGAAAATGGCAGTTTAAAAGATGAATTTTTATTGCGTTTGCCTAAAAATTTTGTCCCGATACACCTTTTTTTACCAAGCTATATTTGTAATGGATCATTAAAAGAACTCACTTCTAAAATTTGAGAAATCTTTAGGCACCTTTCATTTATTAGATCTTGACCTCAAGCTCAGCTCGAATTTTGAAAAACAATTACGAAATATGAATGGTACGACTTGTCTAAAAAAAGAGAAGAGGTTGCATAACCGAAAACCAAATAAACAAAAGCACGTGGGAATGTTTTCAGTAAGTATTTAAATCGTGATTGCATTCAAAATTAAATTTACTATGCATAGCATATTCCATTTAAGTGCAAAAATTAGCTCAATAAAGCACAATTGCCATATTTCATGACATTCGGTAATTATGTAACGTGCATGTATTGATATCTTTTTCACGAGCCACTTTCTTACCCGCCTACAGCAGTAGAGGTGTTGCATAAAAGCTTTTCGGTCCAATTTAAAGTTCTTTGTTTTTTCCAGGATTCTTAAAATAAACATGCCAGCACGGAAACGCATTCATCGTGAAACTGACAATACGGTAGCAAAAAGCACAAAAGTCAGGGGGAGAAATAAATGTATGTTAAAATCAAATGCAGATTCAAAGACTGGTGCAGATGGAGATAATATTAGTGATGTTAAAATGACTTGCACAGTAAAGCTGGACAAGAGCACAAGAAATATTGACAATGATGATTTAAACTTAATAAAAACGACAAATAGTTGCGACCAGCTGGTTACAGGAAAATCAAGAAAGAGGGTCGCAGTGGAGCACTCTGGAGAATCGGACAAGGGTGTAGGGAAATCAAGAAAAAGGACGGTAACCACTGCGGATAGTAAACCCAGCAGCACTAAGTGTAAAGGAAGTCGTGCATCCAAAAATGAACCAATTTTATTGCATGATGGAGAAATGAAGAATGGAAATAAGACTCGTGGACGAAAGCAGAAAAAGGTTTCAGGTAACACAAATGATGAAGCAGAAATTGGAACAGAGAGTGTTCAGAGTAAAGACAACTTGGGTGATCCATGTAGGCAGAAGATTGAAAGATCAGCAAGGGGTAAAGCAAAGACAAAAGGCAGCACAAAGGGGAATAATGAAGTAAAAGATGAAGATATTCCTTATCTAAGCACAGTAACAGCAGAACATCTTGGAATTAAGTTGGATAAAAGTACAGAAAACAGATTAAGTGATGTGAAAGTTAAAATTGACCGGGAATGTGATGAAGTTGGTGTCATGTCATCTAGCGACTCTGATGATGACTTTGAACCCGTGACAAAAAAATTGAAGTCGTCCAACGAAGAAGAAATCTGCAAAGCAAGGGAAGGTGTAGATACAAAGAGTACGCCTCATTCAGTATCAAAAGAGAAAGCACACAAAGCAGCTGCAAGGAAGAAAAGAAAAGAGCAATGTGAAGATGAAGAACAGCTCAAGAAAAAAGGTGAAGAAACAAAGAAAAATACGAAAGACAAAAAAGATGTAAAACAGATTAGTAAAACTAATGTTGATAAAAAGTCCTCGTCAAAAAGGAAAAACTCAGGAAAATCTGTAGAGAATTCCACACATGAATCTCAAAGGTCTAATGATATTTCTTGCCCACCTGAAAGTGTTCATTTCAAAGGATCCTCAGAAAAGTCCAAGAACATTGACCATTCAGATGTAATGTCAGTGTTGCTGCACATGGAAGGGGTGAGTGAGAAGGCAGGTCCTTCAGGGTTGTCTACTGGGGGTCAGGAGAGTGTCGGGGACACAGACGGGGACAGCGAGGAGGAGTCAGACTGGGAGGAGGTCAAAGGTGAAATATATTTAGTATATTAAGAATTAAATCCTGTTGCCATGTGTGTTATTTTCCCAATTGTCAGTAATAATGATAGAGTTAATAACAAAACACATTAAAACCAAAATGTGATGAACTTTTGCACACAACATGTACAAATAATCCATTTGTATTTTACGGGAGTGCTTGATATAAAAGAAACTCTATGGTTACCGTATAGAAATTACTTGATCACACAGTCAACTGATATGACAATGGTAAATCATTTTAGATGTTGAAGGCAGCCCTTTGAAGTCTCAGATTCCAAAGGAACCAGTGGAAGTGATTTTAGAGGCCCCTAACTTCATAAAGAAAAGGTGAATTTTTATCAACATTTATACAGTGTGTTTCATTCAGATATTGAATTGATAAAAAAATTCTTACAGATTTTACTTCATGTACATGGATATTCCTATATTATGGTAATCAATTAACATCTGTCTATTAAGCTTTTTGAAAATTTTACACAAGCTTGACAAGAGCTAAAAATACCAATAATCTGATAGTTTGTAATTGACAATAAAGTCTATTGTTAGCTCATGTGTTTCTAAGAGTCAATTTTTTTGTTTAAATATTCTAATCAGGAAGAAGAAAGAATTTGATTGGAAAGCCTATGTCCAGAGACAAATTAACAGATTCAACAAAGAATTAAGGGAGGATATTCACAAGGTGAGCTACTAAGTTGTAATTGTGGGAATGCTCTGTTTGAACATAGATGAGACATTATAAATGACTACCGTGTGAACAATATACAGTCAAACCTTGTTATCTCAAACTCAATGGGACAGATAAAAAAAATCAAGGTATACAAGCATTCAAGATAACGAGGTTTAAAACATAAAGAAAAAGAAGGTTGGACATAAAAATCACTTTGACGTATCCATGGTATATCAGATATCAAGGTTCAACTGAAGTTGAGTGTTAAAGTGAGTGTTGAACTGTAGTTGAGTGTTAAATTTTTGACCATTTTCATCCTGGGATCAATTTCTATCCAGAGCTTTTGTTCCATTCAGTCACATCACCTTTATCTGCATGTTCATGCTTCAGATTTTATAAGGTTCTTGTAAAACATACATGTATCTTCAAAGCTTGAAAGGAACTTGTTTTTACATTAGCATCAATATCTTTAATAATGTTCATTGAATAAAAAACAATTTTATATTTGAAAAATTCCAAGAAGTCTAAAGACATTTCATTCCAAGTGCAAATGTTTTAGTGCAGCATATGATCTGCTATTTGGTTGTTTGGTTCATGTATCAGGAAAGATAACTCTGGATTGTGATTAAGAATAAGACCTTTTTCTGTCTGAAAAAGACATCTTGATAATAACAAAAGATACATGAATGTGTTAGAAATTTTTTAAAAATTATTATTTCACCTCATTACAGGTACATCTGATGTGTTTGCTGTCTACGGGTCGTTACTTGAATCAGGTGTGTAATGACTCGGTCCTAAGGGGTGTGGCATTGTCTATCATTCCTCCTGAATTTTCCTCCCTCCCTCTCAGGAAGTACGATGCGTCTACTCACACAAGATTTGTAAATTGGTACAAAGGGACTGTTAGTATTGACTGTAGCATTGCTGATGATGAAAAATCTAATCTGGTATGCGTATATTTTCATATAATTATGATTTTTTTGCTTGTATTTTTATTCAGTATTGTGTAAAGAATGAACATATTTAATCAAAAGTGTATTTTCCAAGCAAGCCAAGAGTTCACTTATGCCCTGTTCATCATGTTAATCAATAAAATGTGTACAGACACTATGACATTATGTAAAATGTACCTGCTCTGCACAATGTGACGTGATTTGAAAATGACGTCATAATAGGCTTACAGAATAGCCTTACTGTAGAAATATAATTTTAATTCGCATTAGTTTACTTCGCAGTAGCTCTCATGTGAACGCATTCTAATTCGCATTAGTTTAATTCGCATTAGTTTACTTCGAATTAATTTACTGCGAATTAAACTCTCCGTGTGAACAGGGCATTAGATTTATTTTATCATGCTTGTCTTTACTAGCTGCCGATCTGTAGCTAACTGGTCTGAAAAAATTGGGATGGATGACCAGAGAGCTACAGTGCCAACCATAGAGAAAAAAAACACTATATATTTATTGTGCACAAAAAGTTTGCAGTTTATTTCTCTATAATATTTAAACTGCCATCTCAAAATATTACTAATTGTGAGTTCCTAACATATTCTTTTACTATTTCCACAACAAATCATTTGTTACAACTGTTGTTAAAAGCCCTTCTGGGCCTGAAATTGAGACCATCAAAATTTCACCTAATTAATTGCCATTTTGGGTGGCAATATAATTCAGTCCAACACCCTTTGTGCAGATGTCAACTATGAGAGTATTTGATAGAGTCCAGGAATTTTTTTTTTTTAATCAAGCTTTTGTACAGTTGGAGGTAAGAATTTGGTAAAATAAATTCAAAACTTAGCCATTAAATATACAGTTTTATCTATGGGTGGCACTGTTAGCTCTCCGGTCTGTCAATATTATTTTTCGGAGAGCTACAGTTCTGCAGGCAGCTAAGTTTGAATGATAATTTTAAGACAAATTATTTCATTGTAATAACTTTGTAAAAATTGTGACTTATTTTTGATTATATTTTTCCCCTTGATATATGTTTTCATATTAAAAAATTCTGTGTTTTATGTAGCCTGAATCTCTTGTAAGAAGAATGGAGAATAAAAAAGTTGCCAGTCGTATGGAGTTTGTTTTAGTAAGTACTTCCTATTTTGTAGCACTGTTATTAATACTTTACAATGTATTATCATTTACCAACATTATACCACATAGCAGGCAAATTTTGCAGTTTGAATTTTTAAAAAGAAATTAAATATAACAATTATTTCAAAATCTGCAATTCAAAAATGGACATCAGCAGAAATTATCCCATATACATGTACCTAAAAATACCGTAAATGTTAAAATGTCAAAATAAATTGAATCACATATACCTGGTACATATAAATTCTGTGTCTCAAGTTGATGCATGTACTGGTACATGTATGTACATTTGGTGATATATTATTGACAATGACTTCTGCTTGTCATATTTCACATAGTTCTACCTGGCCCTGTTAAGATGTTTAGGTTTCAATGCCAGACTGGTTACATCTCTACAGCCCCTCCCTCTTAAAAATAATAAACAGGTGAGCTTAATTTAAAAAAATTAGTTTGGTTAACAGGAGAGTTGAAACTGTAATAAAAATACAATGTATTGTCCAGTAGGTCTACATTAAATGTGAATTTTATTTGTAATTCTTTGATATCGTTTTTACATGTAATTTGAAGTTTAATTTTTATACATGTTGATGTTTCATATAAAAAAAGTCTTTTACAAGAAGATAATGTGAAGTTAAATTGTATGCATGCATGTTCAACTAGATGTTTCATATTAAATTTCTTTTACAAGGAGATATTGTGAAGTTAAATAGTATGCATGTTGATGTTTTTTACTTAATTTCAGGAAGAAAATGTGAAGAAAATTAACATAAAAGGGAACCCAGCTGCAATCAAAAAACCTAGCAAGGAAAACTCCAAGAAAGATCCCAAAGAAAAGGTTAAAGCAGAGAAAAAGGGCAAAGAAAGTAAAAGCAAGACAGAGAAGAAAAGCAGTAATAAAAAGAAACAGAGTACTGCTGGGAAATCTACAGAACAGAGCTCTGTGTCAAAGGTGTCAAAAACTCAAAAAATCAAAAACAAGAGTCTCAGGGAGCGGGACTCCAAAGTGAGGCCAAACAGTTACCATGACAACAGTGATATCGATGACTCAGGAGATGACTTTGAGCCAGAAAAGACTTGTGGAAGTCAAGGAAGAAAGCAGAGGAGTTCAGATAGTTTGAGCTTGTCTGACAAATCTTCAGAAAGGTATAGTTGTTTTGGAATAATTTGCTCTGTTGTAGGATTCAGAATGTTAATGTTGATTGTAATACAGAGTAGCACAGCAGTGATGAAGCTAAGTCTCTCTTACTTAGATGACATGGACGTATCGTAATGACCTCCTATCACATTCCCATTTTCTTACCACAAATGCTAGATTAAATAAATAATTCATTCCTTAATGATAGCGTGAAGGAAATTTAAGTCTTTGAATTTGAGATGAACTGGACAAAGAAGACTCATTTGTGATTGTAAAATAATTGTAAAATCCAGGACAGAGTAAATATTAGAGTTAGTTATAGTGTACAGATTTCTAAATGTGTGCCGTACGTTGTATTTGACATTATAAGCAGGTCAGATAAAGATTCTGATTTTGAGGAAGAAACAAGGACATTCAGAAGTCCAGTCAGAAAATCCACGTCAGGAAAGAAAAAGAACAAAAAAGTCTTATCTTCAGACTCTGAGAGTGAAGGGCTGGTGTCCAAACAAGGTATGACATGCACATTCCAATTTTAGTTTTTCCATTGATTCTTAGTATTCTCCTTAGCTGGAAATTAGAAAAAAAAACTTTGATTTAAAGAATTTTATGCCAGTTACAAGTACTATCTTGACAAAAATTATTATTAGTATTTGACAATACATGTATCAATCAGTGTTTAACGACAACTAAACATTGGTTTACTGTAAACTTACTTTTTTCCATGGGGTCATAATTTTGTGGAATTACATTTTCTATTCAATCTGCGGGTAGAAAATTATATGCACATTTCGATCCCTGACTGCCATTGTATTTCTAAAATGTACTTTTAGTATGCTGTGACAAATTTCTTTGGAGAAATTGTGACAGGGTGCATGTACATACCAAAAATTAATCCTTAATATGCAGAAAAAAGTATGTCTACAGTTACTGTATTTGATGGTAGAGAAATTGATTCCATAATATATTGTAGGTTGTGATGAATGGGTGGAGGTTTATGTGGAACCTGAGAAATCATGGATGTGTAAGTGGTAGAATTTCTATAGGAATTAAAGACTCTGAAGTACATTTGTTAGTTTGGTAGATACATGTATGTGATTTTTTTGTTTTGATTTGAAATTTCTGACAAATAAATGAAAATATTGCCTTCAACCTGTAGTTTAGAAATTTTAAAGGCTAAAGGTTAATTCTTTCAGGAAGAAATTATCCATATTAATTGAAAGTTTGTCAAGCTAAAATGTAATGTCATTTCCACTACAAGATGTGAAAAACAAAAATATGATGTACATATACAGTTGAACTTCAGTATCTCAAACACAGATATCTCGAATACCATTGATATGTCAAAGTGATTTTGAAGTCCCAACCCCTTATCCCTTATTAATAAGTATTTTATTCCAGATATCTCAAATTCTCGGATATCTCAAAGTTTTTTCTCTGTCCCATGGAGTTCGAGATGACGAGGTTTGACTGTACTTGATTTTGCTGTTTCAGGTATTGACTGCCTGAGGGGACACATCAATCGTCCTTACCGTATAGAGAGTGCTGCTACCCAGCCTGTCCACTACGTTGTGGCTTACAATGAAGGTCAGACTGTGATGACAATAGTTCTGTCTGTAGCAGTTTTCTGTTTGCTCATATAGTCACTGTCACTGTGATAAAAATTAGTTGCAACATGCTGAGTTGAAATTAAGATTAGAATAATAACATACACAGTAAAGATGGATAATGGAGGTATTTTAAATGTTTCATGCAATAGCTGTGTATTATTCTTTCTGTTAAAGCCATGTATTATTCTTTCTGTTAATTGTATTATTTACTTTGTATTGTCAGTCAAATTTCTTCATTTCAAGTAATTGTAAGTTTAGAGTAACAAACATTATTTCAGATGGAAAATGGAAGGATGTAACAGCCAGATATGCCTCCAACTGGATGACAGACACCAGAAAGCTAAGGGTGGATCCAGAGTGGTGGGAGGAGACACTGAGTGTGTACAAATGTGAGGAAGACAGAGCTGAAGATGAGGAAATTAAAGGTACTAAAGTGAATTCATGATGAAGGCTTGCTTGATTTGGCCAAATTAGCAAATGATACATGTATGTTTTTGGAGGTTGTATTTGATAAAGAATGGAAGTATAAATGTGTTAAATTTTAACAAAATTCTGCTTTTTAAAGAAGGAAAGGTGTAAAGTATGATAAATATGTACAGCAAAATTTTTTTTCGTATATTTTAGGGAAAAACTTGGAATTCAGAGTTTAGTCTAGAGTCTTAAAATGGTAGGATTGATCACTGATATGTAATAATTAAGTGTTTTCTGTATTATTTGTAGCCAACCTTATGAAGAGGCCATTACCCACCAATATTTCAGCCTTTAAGAGCCATCCTCTGTAAGCAGATATTTAATTTCTAAATATTGAATTAATTTCGTGAGCATTAAGCTTTATATCTAATTTTCTTTTAAAATATATGTACTGAGATTAAAAAAAATAAACCGTGATAAAGGCACACATTATGTTCCTTGCATCAAACCTGGAAAAGATAACGGTAAGTCAAACATAATTATACTGATATCAGTAATAATGGGGTTTCACTTCTGAAATTAAAGTTAAGGTGTTTTTGATAGATATGCCCTTCGGAGACATTTGTTAAAGTTTGAGGCTATCTACCCGGAGACATCAGCACCACTAGGCTACATCAGAGGGGAACCAGTTTATGCCAGAGAGTGTGTACATGAGGTAGATTATGAAAATGTTTAGTAAATAGAGGATATTCAATGTTTTGTTGATGAATATGGAATTTATTTCACAGTGGGACAGGATTTTTTTTATATTTTCACGAGTACGAAGCACAAGTGAAAATGTCAAAAAATCCTGTCCCACGAATGAAATAAATTCCATATTCATCTACAAAACATTGAATTTTCTGTTTATTACATTTTCTTTTATTTTCCCTTTGCCTCTGTCTTTTCTTAACACAGTGTCATAAGCTTGACGTCGTAGTTGAGCAGTTGAGACATCATAGCTTAGCAGTTGTGTTATTGAAAACATTACAAAGCATGCTTTTTCGCAACATATTTGGGAAGAAATTTGCAGTTTTAGCTCTATCAAGATGCTTAGTTACTATCTCTATCTTATGACAGGCCAGAAATTATTTTTTACTTACTTGATATCCTTTCACACTGTGAGAGAATATCATTTTGGTATTCCTTTCACACTGTGAGAGAATATCACTTTTATTCAATGAATAAATCACAGTATTTCACTGTTGAAAATGTAATAAAACTGAGTATTGTCATGAAAGTCATTTTGCTATATATTGTGATTTCTAGTTCTATAATGCAATAATATTGCAGTATATGTATTCAAGTGGAGAAAGTAAAAGAAAATGTATTTAGATTTATGTAGATCCAGTCTTAACCTATTTTCAAGATACATGTAAATTCAGGGGACTGGTTGAGATTCTGTAAAACCAGTATTAAGATTTCATGTGGCTTAGTTGTACATGTATATGATTTACATATTTTTAAATAATTTTGTGGTGAATTTTCATATACCCATTTATGGAAGTCCACTTCTAGTAAATACTGCAAATATTGTATTCGCCCCCTCCCCCCAGTTGAAAATATTGTAAACAACCCCCCCCCCCCCCCCCCCCCCCCCCAGCAAACTCTCTTGTATTGCAAGATATCTTTAATATTGTAAACTGTAATTTGAAGAAGATATATATATATAATTACAACTTATGGAATACAAGTCAATGAATATCATTGATTTTGTTTGTATAATTAGTTAAGCTTTCTTTTCTGTATAATTATACTTCTGAGAGAAAGATGGATTTAAAAAGGAGGTAGAGTTTATTACTAAATGTATATTAAGCTTTACCCATTTTTTTCTTAAGATTTTTTTTTCTATTTACAGTTACATTCCAGAGAGACTTGGCTGAAAGAAGGCAGAGCTGTGAGGGTTAGTAGACACTAATTCTATAATTACCAATTTGAGGATTAATTATTTTGAAAATTGAAAAAAAAAATGTATTAGATGGTTTTTATGCATAGCTTTAATGCACCATGTGTTGATTTAGATGGTTGTTATGCATAGCTTAAATGCACCATGTGTTGATTTATTTGTGAATGACTGAAGTAACAGAGTATACTGCTTTCAGAAGCAAATATATCATCATGCCAGTATTTAGTATTTAATTCATTGTCAGCAAGATAAAAAAGAAATTGCATGCCATTCCAGATTGGAGAAGAAGCGTACAAAATGGTGAAGTCAAGACCAAAATGGGTATGTGATAAATTCTAGTTTATAAACCAAACAGACAGAAAAATTATTAGTCATAGCATATAAGAAAAAAAAAAGACAAATGGTTGATATGTATACAGTGCAGATGGTTTTCTCAAAGAACTTAGCATGCTTTTTGCTGTAGTGCCAGAAAATTCTTTTTAATTGAAATCTTAATTTGAAAAGACTGTGACACCATTATATGGGTACATTTCTGTGTACTTATCAGTTTAATCATGCTTTTTGTGGCCATTTACAGAATAAGCCCAAACTTGACCCAGATGCACTAGATCTGGAGGTATTTGGATTATGGCAGACAGAACTCTATATACCTCCACCAGCTGTTGATGTAAGATTTCTGTATTTTGTTACAGTAAAATTTTTGTAGTGAAATGCCAGGGACAAACAATTTTGATTTGTTACATGTAATTCTTTATATTCAATAAGTTTGTGATACGTTTTAAAACTACAGGGAATGAAAATCACATCTCTGTAACCACGATTTACTGTACAGTATACAGAATTATGAGTCAAATTGTGTACATACATTGAAAAGTTATTATAGCAGGGTTCCTAAGGCCTAATTATTTTGAAAAAAAAAGTATTTTCCAGCATGAGATTTTGAAGTGATTTCTAAACTATATTCCTTACATTATCAACTTTTCACATATTGGCCACAAAATTTTTATACTTGATAATTAATCAAAGAAAGATAAATCTCTTTTTTAAAAATTAATTCACATGTATGGTTAAGGAACCAAAAAAATGTATATTTTTTCCCATTTGTACCATCAGAATTTCTCAAGCCTTAAAATTCTTGCCTGAAAACTTACACAGTCAAAAATACTTGAATTAAATTGTCAAACATGTTGATAATTGAGACAGATCAGACAAGACATGCTGAAACAGACATTTTCTTTTGAATCCAAATTTTGTTTGAATTGACTCAGTCATTTAATATTTACCACTAGCTCATATACGTTTAGAGTGATCTAAACATAAATTGATAATATCACACATTATTATTTTAAATGTAAAACTCTGATTAAAAAAAAAAGTATAGCAAATTGTATTTTTATGCATTAAAGCATATAAATTTATTGAAACACAGGGAAAAGTTCCTAGGAATGCCTATGGAAATGTGGAAATGTTCAAACCTACTATGTTACCAGCAGGGACTGTTCATCTCAAAAGTATGTATACAGGTCCTTAGAATTATTTATGGTGTATATAAAAGAAATATGATTAATAAAAGTGATTTTTTTTTTAATAATTGAATAAGATGTTACATAATTATGATTTGAAAAAAAAAATATCACAGGATAAATTCAGTAAGCAAATTTAATAGGCAAGCCAAAAGCAAACCCAATAATCATTAAAAAATAGCAACACTCATGACCATTTCAGTATTGATTGATTTGAATAAATATCTAATTACTACTGAACTCATATTTCAGTACCAGGTTTAAACAAGGTAGCTAAGAAGTTGAACATAGATTGTGTCCCTGCCATGGTGGGCTGGGACACACACTGTGGATTCTCACATCCTGTGTAAGTAATGTCACTCACATTGAATACCTTATATAATTATGCCCCTCACACTAAATGCCCCATTGTTAGCCCCAGTGCCCTGTGCAAGTATGTTTATTATTTCAGAATTTGGTCCTGTGTTAACTTTAAAGTAGACTTGCGTATCCTAATGTAAAATCACATATTTTCGAGCAGTAAAATTTTCATGTTCTGAGGGAAAAAAAATTGGTTTGTGGGGTTTTGATTTCATGGATGAGTTGTTATATAATATTGTATGATAATTTGCAATTCGTGGAGGACGTAAATCCATGGGTTCTCAGCATACCTTGAAAAGAATGAAAATTACACTCCTACGAAAATAAGTGATTTCACAGTATATTTGGCAATTTTCATCTGATTGCAGGATGGATTCATATTTAAAAGTTTGTGAAAGTTATGTGTGTCATTCTCTTTGTTGGATGTGATTACAAATAGAATGCAATCATTGTTTATGAACGCTTTGTGTTTGTTGTATTGCATTTTGATTATTATAATATTACAGATTGGATGGATTTATTGTGTGTGAGGAACATAAAGATGTTCTATTGGCAGCTTGGGATGAAGAACAGGAAATCCAGAAACAAAAAGAGGCAGAGGTAAATGTCATTACTTAAATCCAGAGTTACTTGAATCCAGAGTTACTTAACGTCAGTACTTAAGTCCAGAATACTACAAGTCATTACTTAAATCCAGAATTACTTAAATGAATCCATAGTAACTAAAAGTCAGTTCTTAAATCTAGAGTTACTCAAAGTATTTCAATCCAATCTTATTATAAGTCAGTATTTAAGTCCAAAGTTACTATAAATCAATACTTAAATCCAGTTACTGCAATTCAATACTTATACCAGAGTTACAGCCAAGTCAGTACTTAAATCCAAACTTACAATAAATCATTAATGTACATAAATCCAGAGTTACTGGAAGACAATGCTTAAAACCTGTTACAAGCCAATTCTTCAATTCAGATTTACAACAAGTCAGTACTTAATTCTGATGCTATTAAGGTCGATCAGTAGTTTTCAATTCAGAGATACTACAGCCAAGTCAGAACTTACAATCCAAGTTACTTAGTTCTTAAATCAACAGGCACTACAAGTCAGGGCTTCTAAATTCAGAGTTACAAGAAGTCAGTACTTAAATGTAAATCTAGAGTTAATAAGTCAAGTTAGTGCCAGTGTCTAGAGTTACTACAAGTTAGTACTTAAATCCAACGTTATTATATTACAACCTAGTATTTTAATCCAGAGTTGCTAAGTCAATTCAATAATAAGTCAAGAGTTACCATTCGTTAATTCTTAAATCCAGAATTACTACAGTCAAATTAGGCTCCAAGACCATAAACTGAGAATAGACTTAAGTCAAAATTTCAAATTAATATAATTTTTAAAATAATTTTGATAATGAAATACATCTTTCTCCATGTGTATGGATTTTTGTAATTTGCACACCTGCAACGTTTCATGCACATAAATTAATTAGAACTCAAAATATTTAAAATCAAAATTTTGACTTAAGTCTGTTCTCAGTTTATGGTCTTGGAGGAGCCAGTTCTTAAATCCAGTTTTACAGGTACTACAAGGAATTTTAATTAAACAATAAAATGCTTTCTTTGGTTGTTAGTACGGGAATTAATGTCGCAGCTGTTGCAGAAAAAATACATAACCCGCGTAAGCGGGTTATGTAAATTTTTTTCTGCAATAGCTGCGACATTAATTCCCGTACTAATAAACAAAGAAATTCATTTTATTGTTTATATTTATATCTGAATAAAAAAACATTCAATGTAAAATTAAACATGTTAAATATTGTATTATAGAAGTGTATGACATTGTATGTATAATTGATGGAACAGCCGTTGCTCAAGAAATCTATACTGGTGGCTTGCTTAGTGTTGTTTACTCACAGATAAACAGCAATGGATTTCTTAAGAAATAAAGGAAATACTATTCAGTGGATGTAAATATTCCAGAGTTACTCATGTGGCTTCATCCATTGTGTGCTTGTATTAATGGAATTTAAAGACAAGATTTCAGTTATAAGTTCACAAAGATTAGATTTAATACATTTTCAAATGCAAGCTCTGGTCTTATTGTCAGCAAGTTCATTACTTCTCATTAAATTACACAATCTTTCTCCTTATACAGGCTCAAGTAGTAATATCATGTTTTTTGAGGTGAATAATATTTTTAAAGACATTTTTTTATATATCAGAAAAAAGAGAAGAGGGTGATAGGAAACTGGAAGCTGTTAATCAAGGGACTGCTGATTAAGGAAAGAATCAAGAAAAGGTTTAACCTAGTTGACAAGGTACTGTACATGAATTATATATACTTTACCTCTTACATAACTCACTTGCTCCAGTATCTTTTCCCCCCTCAGATTCCATACAGAACTGAAAGTACTTCTTATAATTTAGATTTCACAAGGCCAACGTATTGCTAAATAGGGGCAACCCCATGGCAAAAAACCTTGTTATTACTTCCATTATGCATGGACTCACTTGTCCCCACTCTCATTGTACTCTCACAAGCACGTTACTGTATCCCCTCCAACGTTGTTATATTTCACATATGCAGTGAATTTTTTTTGAAATGTTTTATGTAAATTATATTTTTTTTCTTTGCAAATTTTAAGTGTGTTATTTATATATGATAAATAGGAAGATGAGGAACAAACAAAACCAAAGCCTAAGGGAAAGAAAGCAACAGATGCTGAAAAGTCCTGGCCTCGAAAGCTTCCAAAGTCAGGGAAATTATCACACACACAGGAAACCTTGTGATGAGAGAAACCGAGGATTACAATTATAAAATCCAAAAGCTAGTGAAACGGGATTATATCCACATCACTATCTATAAGCATACAGAAAGTGAATGATTAACGCATTAAAACCTTGTGACTAGAGACACCCGGTGAAAGGGGATCATTTTCACAAAACTATTTATGGAAAAAGAATGTTTTCTCATGAAAACCTTGTAAATATTGTTTTAAATTAGGATTCGTAAGAATAGAGTATCGAAATATCCCACTTATCGTGTGATGGTTGATACATCAAAACCAGAAACCTTATTAAGAGTGATTGTAATGTACAATTTCAAATCTCATATTATTTAGGGAAACATAAAATTTCATAATTAGTGGTAGTAATTACAGGGATATCAAAGGAAAATGGATATAGAACAGGCATTTGAGAAAGAAAAGACACAGAAAAAAAGGAGAAATTTTAAGTGAATAGGGATTCTTTGTTATCCGAATCATGATGTAAAGAGTAGTGCTCTTTTAAGTATAGACAATGCAAGAATCTAATATTTTTTCTTAACTATACATTCATTTTGTAAAAGTTGTTCAACAAAATGCACATGTTGTCCTTTTGGTTAATTGCTTTTGATATAAATTCTAATGTTATGCAATAAAGATACTAAGAAATAAATTAGATATGCAGATTTCAAATATTTTCTTGATATATTATCAATTTAAACTTGTGCCTTTAAAATACTTATGAAAAAAAAAACTTATGAATATGAATGTAAAAGGATGTATTACTAATGAAGAAAGGGATGATAAATATACATGTACGCATTCCATGCTGGAGAAATAGTTGCAATTTTGTCTCCTTCAAAACCACCTGGAAAATAGTAAAGAAAATCACTTATATCGTACTTTAGTTCATAAAAAACTGTTTTATGCTTCTTAGGGATATTTGGTGCATGCACTGGAAAGACAGTTTAAGCTACCCACAAGCATCGACTTGCAGCAACATTTTTATATATTAACATTTCTAATTATTTTTCTCTAAGATTCTTTGTAAGTAAGAAAAACGTCATTTTTCTCAGGAACTACCATGCATGAACATAAATATCATTCTGTATTATGATGTCATAATATTGTACTTGCTGCAAACTGATTCACTTTAAAAAGTGTAATTAAAGTCTGCAATTTATGTAGCAGATTCTCTCCCTCCCTAGCTCCCTCTCTCTCTCTTTCTCTTAATTCAGAGGGCATGCAAAGATGGACAAAGAATAATAAAATAAATAAATAATGTGTACATTTTCATTATTTTTTATGCAGGATTTTTTTTCTGTTTAATAAAGAAAAAAAAATTGATTTCTTAGGGAATGTTACACAAAACTTCAGACTTATTTGAATTTACTCTGAGCTGTACATAAAAAACAGAGGATGAAGTTTGTGGAATATAAGTGAAATGTGTTTCATTTCTCATTATAAGCAAACACAATAATTCAGATTAACAAATAAGCTAATATTTATACCACACATCTCTTTTTTTAAATGAGTACATATTAAAGAGATGTTCTTAAAGGCAGAGATTTTTTACCGGGTGGTAAATTCCAGATAAGGGAGGGACTTATTTTGTACAGGTGTGAATGCCTTGAGGGCTAGCAGTCTACCTGTGGTCATTTGTCTCCTAATCCCTATACACAGGAAGTGATTTAATACACAGTAGAATACCCAAGAAGTCAAACTTTACCTGTGTTGGTTTTTTGAGATGATTCTAAATTAGAAATAAAAAGTTGAAAATAGAGTTTAATCTCAATAATTTTTATTAATTTGTAATTGAATATTTGTCAAAGCATCCCCACCCATTAAAAACTTTTATTATTCAAAATATTTGTTCAGCTTTGAAAAAGTTTTACCAAATTTTGATATAAAATTTTATATTATTATAAAGAATATCATATTTTTTTCAAATACTACAGGTATGTATATACATATATTATCAAGCTAAAAATTCCATAGTAATACATCTTCTCTGTTGTTTATACTATGTGTGGTAAATATCAAAGGATCAAAAGTTAATTTGAAGTTCGCCATTAGTGCCAAACAAGGTATATAGGGTATACACAGGGACTAGTAAGTAAATGTCAATCAAGTTCTAGCAACCAATAATGTACCTTAATGCATTTGATTGACAGGGGTACACAGACCAGGTATTTTTGAAGGCGGTGCTTTAAATCTCTGCCTTTAACAATATAAAAATTTTACATAAGGTGTTAATTCCAAGGATATGTTTCATCAGTACTGCTATTGGCCAATTCGTACAGAAAGTCATAAGTCTTAGAGTTTTAGTAACACCTCATCGTGGACCATTTCTTCATAAGTATGTTTCGTTCACTCCTTTCTGCCAAATAAAAGCTATACTACGCCATGAAACTTAAATCTAAATAATCTTGCAATTTAATGAATATATATACTTACGATATAAACACATATTAAGAGTTTGAGAATTAAGGTCAGATGATACGTTCCTCAAATATCTGTTTTGCAACTCTTAATAGTGTATGAAAAATATTCAAAATTTTAACTACTTTCTGATTTCTTAGCAGGTTTCTTATTGTCTTGAAATAATCGAAACACTAAAAAGTGTGATATTGGCAAATAAAGATTTTCCCAAAAGGATTATATAGGAAACACCATCCTCTGGTATCTTGCACAAAAGCCTGGTAAGGTACCTCAATTTTTTGTGAGTAAACTTGTTAAAGTAGCAATACTTCAATGACAAAATCTTGGAAAAAATTATATATTATTGAGGAACGTATCGTCTGTCCTTAAGAGATATCCCTGGCAATATGAAACTACACTACTGTAGATGGCAGATTATTATAAGATTATAAAAAGCTTTGTAAACTTTAATGTGAAGGAAGAAAGGTTCTTTCATACAATTAAGAATATTTCCAGACACCAAATTATCATAGAATATATAAATCTATTATATCCGTCTAATAAAAGTGTATGTTACAAAACACTTTTAAGTTAATTGTCATACAAATATGATGTGTGAGGTAGTTGAAATAATATTTCATTGAAAAATACACTCAAAGACAAATAATAAATAACTCCCTTTTTAAAATAATTCCCCTGTTAAAAAATGAAATTAAATAAATGGAGTTTAATATTATTTGATATGCTCTACTGAATACTCCGCAAGAGTGTTTAGAGTTTCCAGCAAATTTTCATCATATGTAATCCTGTATTGAATATTACGTATATTTTACCCTAAATTTGTTCTTCGTGTGTGTGTGTGTGTTTTTTTTTTATCTTATCAAAGAACGTATGCTACGGCGGTCTACTTGAACTTTTTAGCATGGGTGCTATTTCAAAAATAGGCTTGTACTATTTACAATATATTATCCTTCAACCAATGTGTCAGCAAGAGGATATAAGTTTGGAACGTTAAAGTAGTATAAATGGTAACTCAGTAAGTTTTCTCCAGAACAACCTAAAGCAAATATAAGGATGATGATATCTGTAGGTTCAAATTCTTCAAGACATAGCGCTAGGACAAAAGACTTGATCTTAAGATTCCTAAAATAAATTTGTTAAAACTGATATTTTGCCCACTGTGAGAACTATGAAGTATCTTGGGGCCTAAGAGCGTGACAATCTATAAGTAGGTTATAGTAACCTATCTTTGCAATCTTGAAGCTATTTACAAATTGTTTGAGATGCATATTTATGACATTCTGAAGCCTAGGGTCATACCTTCATTACCTTCTATGAATTTAATCTTTGTTATTATCTACAAAAAAAAAAAAAAGAAACCTTAAAGTAAGGAAAATGATTCATTTTGTTTGTAAAGTGACCACTTGATGACAAATTTTTAATATTCCAAATACAGTATACATGTATTACTTGTTTTTCATAGCAGGAACATTTTTTAAAGCAAAATTCGCATTCCCAAAGTTCAAAATACCATACTTATTTAATGAATTAATTATGTAGAAAATATTGGGTTTTATCAAATAAGGGCAAATATAATGAAATACTTCATAAATGCTTACATTCTTTCAAACAAACTATTGTTACCAACCCTTTTTTGTCTCATTTCTGTTTCCAAGTCAAACAACATCATTGGGCATAACTATGGAATGAAAGAATTTGATAATCATTGAAACATCGGTAAATGTCAATGTACATCCAGTTGAATAGGAGTGTGAAAGGCGTCGCTTTGTATAATGTAGAAACACTGTATTACAACAGAGTCGCTGAAAAAAAATAAAATGTTTCATTATCTCTCCTTTCCGCTGTTGAAGTGTTTGTCGTTAAAAAAACACTATTTCCTTGTTAAATTTTTCTTAAATCTTTTCATTGAACTTTGAAAGAAGAATAGGATATTCACTGAAATATAATATGCCACCTGTAACCATTGTGGATTTCAAGATGATGATCATGTTTAGTTTACTTGCATACTGTCATGGCTACGGTAAGTGAAATAGTAATTTAGATAGCTATGTATAACTTCAGCTGCTATGACAAGCCTAAAAATGACTTTTCTAAATTCTTAATTTGTCTTTTAATGATGACGATGCGCTAAGGGTAAGTTAAGGGTTTGCTGGGTTAAGCCAAAATAAAGATATTTGTTAACTTGAGCGTACATTTCATATCTTGCATGCACGACCAATTTTTGAAGATGAAAATAAATCGTAAGATGCATTTACGAATACAAATATAACTGTGGGTTTTTTTCCAAAGAAAATTTGTCACAAGGTCGTTATGGAGTAATGTCTGCTGGGAATGAGAGAGTCAAAGAAATAGCGATTATGGATGGCGACTACTCCATATGTCATGGAACACAAAAAACTGAGAATGTTACATGGTACATAGATTTCACAACTTTGAAAAGTATCTACCGGATAGAAGTTTCAGGTAAATGTTTTAAAACAGATATACATAATCTTTAATATTCTTACAAAGAAAAACATGTCAAATACTAGTACACTTAAATACTCTTACAGGGTTATTTTAGCTCCGTGTTATTTTCGCCCGAACGATTGCCCTTAAATCTCTTCACTAAATAATTTCTGATATTATTAAGATCGTTAACCAAAAAAAAAAAAAAAAAAAAAAAAAACAATAGACATCTATCACACTTTGCTGTTTAAGGTCAGGTAATACAAACTTTTTAGGTCACTTGAGTCACTTAAATGACCTTTTTCTATCTGTTTTCGTCCTTCGTCGTTCGTCGTCAATTGGTCATAAACTTTTG